GAAAGAGACATCATGGGGGGAGGGGCGCAGACGTAAAGATCTCTCGTTCAAAATGCGCAAGACCAAAAGGATTGCTGGACGAAAGAAGACCAAGGTCCATCCGGTTCGCCTTCCACCATCCTGGCAATCATATTCACAAGTCATGTCCCGAACTATATCCTGCAGCAGGAAGATTAAATGGCAGAGAGCATGATCAGCCCATTCCTCCTGTTTTAGCTTTCAGCTCTCGTGTGCGCTCAAGTCCCACATCGGGGTCTTTGAGCTCACAGTCTCAGCTGACACTCCATTGCGGTGCTGGGGGAGCGCTGTATTCTCGGAGGTGCCTTCCTTCGGATGAGACGTTAAAACTGCGGTCTCGTCTGTGCGGAAGGTCTTCAGGCGCGACCTGAAGATGGGGGAGGAAGGGGCAAGGTGGAGGGATCGAGGAAGAATGTTCTAGAGTTTCAGGGGCGCAGTGGCTGAAAGTGCGGCCACTGATTGTGGAACGGGGGACCCGAGGGACATGCAGGAGGCAGTCGAGCGGAGGCAACAGGTAGTGGGTTGGACAGTAAGCAGGTCGGAGAGGTAAGGAGGTGCCGGAGCATGAAGGGATTTGAAAACGAGCGTGAGGATCTTGAAAACAGCAGTAAGCAAGCCCACCTGTGGTGACTATTGCCTTGTTGAAAGCAAGCGACCCAAAGGTTTAAGAGAAAATTTCTCTCTCTGTCTCGCTCTCTCTCTCTCTCTCTCTCTCTCTCTGTCTCGTTCCATTTCTTTTGACATGAAGCGAGGCTGAAAGGACGTAGTGGCAGCTCTGTTATTGCAGATCTTATCGGAGCTCCGGGAATCCAGGAGAGAGCCCGGTGACAAAGGGTTGGAGCAGGAAGAAGATTAATGGCAGAGAGCAGAGATCACTGTGAGAAGGCAGAGGAAATGAAGCACTGAAAGCTCCCATGATTTTGGACAAAGCCAAGCTGACAGACCAGAGAGACTCATTGACCAAACGGCAGATAAAGCCCTGTGTGAAGCTAGGAGGTGTTGCTTATATCTCCTCTCTTTAATCTGCACATCTCCCCTGCCTCCCCACCCCCCCCCCCCCCCCCCATTCCATCCTGGGCCAGCGAGCATATGAACTCAGTGTTGTAAGGGATGCTATCATCTTCGCTCCCATTTTATATGTGACGTTTTATTCTGAGGTTAACGTTACGATGATTGTGGTGAAGCCAGCACAAAACCAAGCCATACTCAACAACAACTCCCTGAGATTCAGGGCTCAGTGACCTCTTTCGCACCCGTGATATGAATACTTTCACCCTTAAAAGACCCAGCACAGAAACGATGGGTCTAATGGGCCGGACGGGAGGGGGTGGGGGGGACATGGAGCGGGCCAGTGCCCGTCTAGCGGAGGGAGCGGGGAGGTTGGTGTAGAGTTAGCAGGTGACAGAAGTCAGGAGGAGCAAGGCTGTGGAGGCTTCGTAAGTGCTATAACATGTAAGTGAAAGTGTGGTTGTTAAAAACCAAGCAAGTGAACATTACTCTAAGCCTCAGAAAATACACTGAACAGTGGGGATGAAAGGATCAAAGCTTCCGTCCCATGGCTTCCAATTCTGTTTTTATTCCCAGAGAATCTTTAATAATGTGGTTTGAAATTTCCGGCCTTTTGTCTTAACGTATGGGGGGGTGGGGGGGGGAAAAATCTCTTTTTCTGTAACTTCGAACCAACCACAATTGAGGATTTTTTTTCTCTCTGGCGCACTTTCAAGAGCTGTAACCATGGCAATAGTGTTTCATGACATCATCTGGTTGTAGGCAAACATGCCAAAGATGGCGGGGGGGGGGGGGGGGGGAATGGGAAATCAGGTCTGACCGCATTTTATATGACATTTCCTATTTAGCTGTTTTCTAACTTTTGTTTCAAAAACTTTTGTATTTTTGAAGTTTACGACAGGATAAACGATGTATCGGGCACCCTTTATAGCCTCTGTTGGGTTTGCCAAGCGACATCTCTGCACGGAAGCTGAGATCGGTTTTGGGAGGGAGGTGCATGTGTGCGTGTGTATGCGTGTGAGGGCAAACCAAAATGGCTGCTCCACCAGCCAGGGACGGGCACATTTGCGTAGTGGTTAGCCAGAGGACCTGGGTTAAATTCCCAGATAGAGCAAAACCTTAGGCAAGTTGCCTTACTCCACCCGCCTCCGTATACCCAGCGGTAAGTAGGAACCCGGTTGTTAGTCGATCCTTTTTCAGGGGTAATAATCCTTGACCAAAAAATTGCTCACTTAATTCACGCCTGTATATAGGACACTGCTGTGTGCATTTGGCTGCTGTGCTTCGCCCACAAAAATAGTCAATTCATTTTACATTATATCCTGTGAAGCACTTTGAGATGTCTTAACGACATGGTAAAGTGCTCGATCAAATGCAGGATTACTATTATTATAGCTTCCTCTGCCCCTTGTTACACAGTCCAGTGTTGCTGACCATTTAACAGTTAACATCACCAAACACTGGCAGGCAAACAGCCTTTCAGATGACGATAGCTGCCTGCAAACGTTAAGGAGCTAATGGGAGATTGCCCTGGACAATTTATCTATCTCTCGATCTGTCTTTAAACCCTAGCTGTTCGATCGTGACCCTCCCCCCACCCTCCGTTCTCCCTCGCTCGGCCTCTGACCCCACCTTTTGAAGCGCTCCGAGACATGTCTCTACATGAGCGGGCGCTGTGTAAACGCAAGTTGTTATTCAAAATGAGCGTGTTTGCCGAATGGGTATCAGAAAGAGAAAGTTATTGGTGATGACTTCACAATGGCGGAGCCTGACTCCGAGCCGGGGGGAGGTGACCGTAGGCACGATCGAAGAGGAAGGACTTCAGGCACGACCAGGAGATGGGGAAGGAGGGGGAAAGGATGAGGAATTGAGGGAGCGTTCCAGAGTGTTGGGGCAAAGATGGTGGAACGGAGGACACGAGGGACATGCAGGAGGCAGTTGAGCAGCGGGTAGTGGGTTGGTGAGTAAGCAGGTCATGTAGAGTAAGGTCTCAGGCATGTTTCATGGGGACACCTCGCTCTGCCGCCCACCTCCCAGCGAACAAACAATGGAAGGAAATGAACGAGGTGAGGATTGGCTTGGATATCCTGCCTTTTGCCTGGAATTTCTTCCTGAGGGAGTGGAGGGTGGGAGCTCGGGGGGGAGGGATGTAAATGCCATTCAACGGGTGTTAAATTCCCCCCGACCCAGTCATCCCAAACATCTTCCAAACTCCACCTTCATCTGAGGCTGATTTAATTCCCGCTTCCTAACTGAGACCAACCAAGGCATTTGTCAAGCTCTGCTCCATCAACAATAATCAACAATAATAATAATAATATTCCTTGCATTCGATATAGTGCCTTATCACGTCGTCGATAATGGGCCCTATTTCTCCAAAGAAGCCAAAGGTCTGGAAATTGGTTTGACAACAAAATAAAATTGCATTTATCCAGCACATGCCCCTGCCCTCCTGTTGCCTATTGCCTCTCAAGTCCCTCCTCTTCAACCCTCCATCCCTCCCTGCCCTCCATCCTCCCTTATCCCAACCCACCTCCCTCCATGCTCGGGTCCAAATCCCTGACCGTCCAGCGCCTTGGGACGTCCTCCTGACGTGAAAGGAGCGATACAACTGTAATTTTGTATTGTATATATGACCACACTGAAATCACCACAAATGCTGAGACAACAAGTTGGTCAGTCAGGCTGGTCATGTGAAGCTTCCCCTTCCCCCCCAGCACTGCACCAGAGATCAATAGCTTCAGCCTTGGAAATTCCATCTCCCAATTTCCCGCATAATAACAACAATAATAATCCTTGCATTTGATACAGCGCCTTATCATGTCATTGAGACATCGCACAGCGCTTCACAGAATATACTGTAATGTGAATTGACTGCATATTTCGTGGGTGAAATGTGGTCACCAATTGCGCACAGCAGTGTCCCACAAGCGATCGTGGATTGAGTGACCAAATGATTTTTTTGGAGTGATTATTACCCCCGGAAAGTGATTCACCAATCGATTAACAACCGAGTTCCTACTTACTGCTGGGTAAACAGAAGTCCTCTTGTTTGCGAGGCGATGACACTACCCGCTAGGGTATTCCACAATCTCCTTTACTTTCTCACCCTCGTCTCCATTCTTGTTCTCCCACCCATTCACTCCTCCCTTTACTGCTAGCTCCTCACTCCACCATCCTCTGCCCTGAGGAACTCTTTTTCCCAAAGTGCCTTTGCCTCGCTCCTTCTCTCCGTGCCTTCAAACTGCTCTTAAAAATCTAACTCTTTGATCAGGTCTTTGGTCAACAACCTTAAATTCCCCACCCTCTCCTTCCTGCTCCTGAATGCCTCTGAAGCTCTTTGAGATACACATCCTCTGGGAAAGTTGCTGTGTAATAGCAAGTCACTGGTTGTTGGCACAGTAGCAATGCAAACTAGGATTGGATACTGTATATAGCGTTGATGCTCCAGGCAGTGCTGGGGGAGCACTGTATTGTCGGACGTGCCGGCCTTCGAATGAGACATTAATCTGAGATCCCTTCGACTTATTCAGGTGGATGTTAAAAAAACACAACGGTGCTGTTTGAAAAGAGAAGGGAGTTTCTCCCAGTGTCCTGGCTGACAATCCCCCAAATAAAATTGGTCACTCACTCCATGGCTGTTTGTGGATGATTGCTGTGCCCAAATTAGCTGCTGCGTTTGTCCACAAAATACACAGTCACTACATTTCACACTGGATCCGGAGAGGCATTTTAAAATGTAAGATGGACATAAAAGGTTGGCTGTTTGTGGACTTTGCTGTGTGCAAACAGTGGCCGTTGCATTTAATAATGATAATTGCATTCGATATAGCGCCTTATCACGTCGTTGAGACATCTCAAAGCTCTTCACAGGATGTATTGTAAAGTGGAGTGACTGTGTAGTTTGCCCAACCATTTCACAATATTTCGAATGAAGATTGTATTGTTCTCTTGGCATCTTGACTTTTGCAAACCCGGGTAAGAGGGTTGGGGTCTGTGTGTGTTTGTGCGTGTGGGAACTGTTTGGAAAGCCTTGACTGCAGATGTAGAGCTGTGGGGAAGGCTGTTCTGATTAAATCTCAGGAAATTTGTGTGTTTTTTTATATATATATATTAAAACAAATCGGGCTGGGAGAGGGGACACGAGAGATACACAGCTTCCACAAACTGCAGTCAGATTCTCAAAGTGCACAGCCCACCCCCAGGCCAGTAACTGGAAGGAGAGAGAGAAAGAGAGAGATAGAGAGGGTTGGACTTGCAACACAGGCTCTCAGCACTGACATACACAGAGATTCTGGCAAAGAGGCGTGAGCTTCCAGTTAGCATCAGCCACTGAGGACATATAGCAGTACATTAGTGCTGAGGGTTCGGTGCTGGAAGCACATAGAAAGGTCTCAGCTACAGTTGCATGTTTGAAAACAAACAAGAGAGGAAAGAAAAGGGACACATTTCCCCTTTGAAGTGCAGTGGTGGATATTCCGACACAGGGAGAAGGAGAGAGAGAGAGAGACCATGGAGGAGGCGAGCAATGGTAAGTGAGCCAACAGGGATGTGTGCCAGTGTACTGGGCTGAGAGAGAGAGAGAGACACAGACAGAGACACAGAGAGAGAGGACATGAGAACTTGCAAAACTCTAGGTTAGAGTCGAAGTGCAATGATTATTGTTATTATTATGAATAACAATATTATTCTTTTTCCCCAAAATACTTTTCCCCTAAATAATAATATTTTGGGGAAAAAGTAACAGTTTTGCTGTTGAAATCTTCCCTGTGAAATTGACAAGTAGTTTTTTTTTGGGGGGGGGGGGGTGTTTGCTAAGTGTTGCTTTACACTGCAAATCTTATTTTAATCAATCTTAAACCTTTTGACTGTATATGGGGATGGATTTGGGGGGAGGTGCATGTTACATCGTTGTGATTCTCATCTTAATCGAATTTCTTTTTTTTAAAAAACCTGGACTACTTCAAATCAACTGCTGCATCTGTGTGACTCATTCTAACCAGTTTCGTTTTTTAAAAAAAAGACCTTTAAAGATCCAATTGTGTATTTTTTTTGGAAGGGAAGGGTGAGGGGGGGGGGGGGGGGGGGAAAGAGAAAAAAACTCTTTTTTGAATCCATGGCATTTTAAGTCCCATGTCCAAATTTGTGAGACTTTTTGATTTGCTGTGTTTTTTTGAATAAAAAAATAACTTCTTCTCTTGTCTGTGGGGGTCTATGCTGGTGGCAAAGCTGCTGTGGGTATAAAGTGCCTGTGAGGTTACAGTGAAATAATACAGTGGGGGTTAGGCTCCTGTTTGTAAATGGGATTGAGGAGCAGAGAGGAGGCAGAGAGGTGTTTGTGCAGAGTGTATGATGGATTGGCTGTAGCCAGGGCTTTGTGCACTCTATTCTCTCTTCAGTTCATTTGCTTTGTTCAGTGAGCTGTTGTGGGGAGGGAGTGTGGGTGGTGAGGCTGGAGGGGTTTCTTCCCCCCACCCCCAACCCCCAACACGTTTAAGAGATCCTACTCTGCCCCCACTCAAGTCCTTTTCATTCGTTAGTATAATTAGTTCAGCTTCTTAACATTGCACTGCGGCAGAAAAAGGTTAACCCCTGCAGGACTAACCTCTCTCCCACTCACTCACTTCACTCACTCACTCACTGTCTTTTTAGATAGTTCCAGGGAGAGTTTTACCTGTGGATGTGAAATGAACTGGGATAATAATGATAATCCTTGCATTTGATATAGCTCTTTCTCACATCGTTGACATGTTTCAAAGCGCTTCACAGAATATACCGCAAAGTGAATTGACTGTATATTTTGTGGGCGAAACACGGCAGCCAATTGCGCACAGCAGCGTCCCACAAACAGTCGTGGTTCGAGTGACCAATTTATTGATTGATTGATTTTGGAAGGAATTATTATCCTTGGAAAGCGATCTGCCAATTGACTGGCAACCGAGTTCCTATTTACAGAAGTGTTTGGAGTAAGGAAATTTGCCTAAGGTTTTACCCCGCACAGCGATCAAACACAAGTCCTCTCGCTTGTGAGGCGAGTGCTCTAACCACTGAGCTACAGGACCCACATGGGATGTGGTTCATTGTATTCTTAAAGGACAATTCTTCCAAGTACTCAGGAATCCAGTGCTGTACAAATTAGTGCAACAACAGTTTTTTGGGGGCTCTGCAATACGCGAAAACCCATCGCCATGCTTAAGAGCGTCCAAACCAGACTGAGAATACCACATATGCAAGCCACTCACACATGGACCGATCCCGAATGGATGATTGTGTTGAAAGTGCAAACAGACCAAACACGAGTGCGCATGTGTGTGTTTGTGCATATACGTGTGAGATTTATTCCCTGAGGGCCTCACATCTGTGATAATCAGTTCACACCATGCTAAGTATGTACTGTTTTTTAGGCACTCTCTGTAAATATTTAAGGACTGCACTTCAGGGATTTACAGACATAAGAAAACAAATAAATAATCGTTGCATTGATGGAGCAGCTTTGATCTTGGGAGGAAGTCTCAAAGCGCTTTTCTGTAAAGTGTAGTGACTACGTTTCACACACAAAATATACAGTCACTACACTCTAGAGTCTGTTTTGTGAAGCCCTTTGAGACGTCTCAAAGACATGATAAGGCCCTATATCAAATGCAAGGATTATTATTTGTAGGCAAATTAATTGTGTTCAGTAAAAGTGGTGGCGACATCTAGTGGTAGCATGTCAATACTGCAACAATCTTTGTTACAATGATGGATCCTTTCAACAGTTATTTGATTGGATTGGAGTATTGAACAGTATATCCACAAAGTCTTGTTACCCTTACATTTTTTTTCTACAGTGCACTGACCAACAACTGAAACGTGGAAGAAAGATGATATTTATATATAGAAGTACTTAATTGTATTCAGTACAAGTGTTTAACTGTATTTAGACATCCAGAGGTTTGGTGTGAGTGAGCGCAATCATTTTAATAGCAGATAACAATCCTGAACACATAGGAACTTAAGAATTGCTAGACGAAAGAAGACCAAGGTCTATCCAGTTCACCTTCCACCATCCTGGCAGTCGCTTGCACATGTCGTGCCCCAAACTATATACTGTATCCAGAGATATTATTTCCTCTTGAAAGGATCAACACTTCCTGCTTCCACTTTCTGCTACCCAGGGGTAACAGGACTTTGTAGACACCCCGTAGGAATCTTCCTCTTGTTGCGTATGACCATTTGTAGTGGTCACATGGAAGTGAGCATCTTTTGGAAATAACTTGTTCCAGAACAGTCCAGCTTGCTTTCCGCAGCTCAATGTCCACTGTTCAGTGGCGCTCGTGAAATGTCACACTGGCCGAGGCTTAAGCACTTAAGCTCCATTCATGCTACAGCTGGGAAATCTGCATTTGCCACAAATCCGCAGCTGGTCTCACAGGAAATTCCCAAACGTATTATGTGCAGTTATTTGTTTCCCAACCTCGCTGGCGATAACAAGAGAAAATTGCACCTCTGGGAACGGCCCTGGAGTTGAAATGCATTAATAGTCCAGGACAGATCGCTCAACGTGACTTGTCCAGCCTCTTATTCCTTGCTGCGGTAATGAATAAACACTTAAGTGCTGGGATCCAGGCAAGTCAGTGTCCTGCCACCCACTACACAGCCTGACTGGGGGCCTGAGAGATTGCATTCCTTTAGGAATCGACCTCGATTCAAAGCGAACCCAATCTTGGTTTCACAAACTGAGCTTTAGAGAGACCTAATCCTGCTTTGTATAGAGACGGCACAATTAGCTGCCTGAGTTCTACTTTACAGAGAAGGAGGTTTTCAAAGAGCAATGGCTTTCCCCTGGTGTCTTTCTTTCCTTTTTAAACCTCCTCCCCCCCTCTCCCCACTCCCCCCGGGAATAAAGTAAAAGTCTATTTTCTATTTTCTCTCTCTCTCTCTCTCTGTGAATTTCTGTGATTATTTCATCCCAGCTGGTTTTCTTTTGAAAGCAATTCAAAGGAGCCATTAGCTGGCTGTCTGATGGTCGCCTCATCCTCGGGTGGGTTCTGTTGCTCAGAAGAAGAAAGTAAATTGTTGGTTTATAAAACAAGACGTGATTTTAAACTGTTGTGAATCAGTGCATGTTATAGCAGCGTTGAGGGTTTACAGTCAGCGATTTGCCGCACTGACACTTGCTGTGGAGTCCAGCAGCGTAGTGGTTAGAGCACTCGCCTTGCGAAGGAAAGCATGTCTGTACTTGATATAGCGCCTAATCACATCATTGAGACATCTCAAAATGGGTATTTGTGTATTTTGTGGACGAAACGCAGCAGCCAATTTGTGCACAGCAGTGTCCCACAAATAGCCATGGAGTTGAGTGACCAATTGTATTTGGGGGATTGTTAGCCAGGACACCAGGAGAGAGAAACTCCCTTCTGTTTTTGAATCGTGCAATAGGATCTTTAACATCCACCTGAACAGGCAGACGGGACCTCGGTTTAACGTCCCGTGCAAAGGACGGTGCCTCTGACAATCCAGCAACACCCCAAGCCCTGCATTAGAGTGTCAGCTTAGACTGTGTGAAGGTTTCGCTCTTGGTCCACTTCTTGGCTGCCAAGAGCCAAGGCTTGGGGAGCCCAGAGTGTGCGTTGGGGGTAACTGCCGGAGTCTAACCAGTTGATCACAGATGTGCCACGTGAAGCTTTAACATCCACCTGGACAGATAGATTGGATCTCAACTTAGCGTTTCATGTGGGAGCGCTTCCCCCAGCACTGTACTGTACTGTTAGCCCAGACTATGTTGAGTTCAAAGTCCTGATCTGTGTGTATTTGTGAATTTGAATCCTTTTGACCTAGGCGAGCGTGCAACCAACTGCGAACAAGGCTGACAGCCAGACTAGAGACTGAGCTGCTCATTCGAGAGCCATGGTGCGAGGCAGAGAAGCGCAGGGTTACAGCACTGTCTGGGAGAGCACACCAGAGTTTCCCAAGGCAGTATAAAGCAATGTCCCTGTGAGGAACCTCACTCCATCCATCCCTGCCGGCTGCTTCCTGTGCCTTTGTCAAAACAGGGTTAAAGATCGCTCCCCACCACTGCACATGTGCCTCTTTCCTCTCCTCTCATGTGATGTTTACAAATCCTGGTGTTATTTTCCCAAGAGAGGGAAAGTAAAGGGGGGAGGCAAGATTTATTACACATCAACTATCCTGTTTGTTTGCTCGGTGAAATGTAACCTGTGACTCTTCCTCACTCCCCCCCCACCCCCCACCACCCCATTTGAAGCGTCTGTTGTTCAGCTCAGATAGACTCCATTACACTGAATCATGTGAGTAGGAGAGCAGGGAATGGAGCTCTGAGGAAGATTCATGCCCACACTTTTCTTATCAGCAATTGTGTTCCTGTTGTTTGGAATCATTGTAGGTTCACGAGCGAAAAGTTGTTAATAAATTCATAAAACAAGAGAGAATACCCCCTACCTCCCCCCCACTGGAGTTGACATTTGTCCTTTTAAGGGGAAATTCCACTTTTATAGGAATAGGAGGAGGCCATTCAGCCCCTCGAGCCTG